ATCAAACCTATTGCTTTCTTGCCGTTCTCGTTGCCGTCGCCGCCGTCGTTGCTTAAGCTCCCTAACGTTTTATACACCGCAGCTTCAATCTTAAATACGACTGACAACAATCTGATTTATTGTTTAATATTTCTCTTTAGGAATGACTAAAGTAGTACTTACGTTTGACCATTACGGAAAAGGGCGTTGCCTTTTCGATGTAAAAAATGGGCAGCTTGGCACACATAAATGCCATTTCATCACTCAGGTTCGAGCGGTCAGTTAAAGTAAAAAGGACTTTGTATTCAAGTTTCGTCCCATTTCTGTCTAATATGCTGGTTCTTTTCTGTGAAGAGAGAGCGAAAAGAGAAGGTGTGGATTTACTACTGTTTCTTCGTTTTACGAACATCCGTCTCACCTAAACTATGTGGTTTTTATGTTTGTAAACACTCTTATTCTTCGGCCATTTAATTTCAACTTAAGTAAAAATAAAACACAAACTGCGGTAACAAACATGATAAAACAACGCATGTTGCAAAAAAACTACGATTTTAAAGACTTGACGTTTCATATGTAACAAAATACGTCTTCAGAAGTGACAGTAACAAAGAGAACAACAACATGCGTTGTTTCATCATGTTTGTTACCGCAGTTTGTATTTTTGCCGTTTGTTTCTTTTTTTTAAGAAATGTGAAATTCTCTGGTATTGAAACACTGATCTCGGAGTAAGGAACTCCAAGGAATTAATATTCTATCGGTGTGACTCCGTCCCTAGTAAAGCTAGGAAAGGAGAAGTAAGAGAATTTTGAATAAGTAATTAAATAAATCATTCCCTCCAAACCTACACACCCCCACCCCCTTTTTTGGCATAGATGCCAGGCGTTGACGAAAGATTTCCCAAAGCAATTTAAAACTTAATCAGTCTCGAAAAGAGATTAAATCAGAGTTCGAAGATTCTACTTTTAGAAATGCAAATATCAAGACGAAAAATAATCTCACCTAGACTTACCTGATCAAGAAACTTGACGAGGTCACTAGGGTTGGGCATAACTTCATCAAATTTGCTCAGAAAACAGGATTTTGCGGAAGAGATTCGGTGCATGGTTAAGTTCTACAACAAAGGAAAACAGGCAATTCTTGTTACGATATCATGACTCACGCCTGCCGTTTACGAGTAAATAGAACCAACAGATATAAAAAGAAAAATGTGCACTGAATGTGATAGAGGTAGATGAGTCGGCGATGGCGAAACTTCGCAAACAACTGAGTACGTATACGTTTGATGGTTCGAATATTTTGCGATGTTAAAATTCGCGATTTTGTAAAAATTTTTGATTGAGAGTAACTTTAATTTCGCGTTTTTGAGCAAGACACAATTTTGAAAAAAGACATGATTTGCATTTCTTATTATGTCAAAAGTAAAAAAATGATGCACCGGCTGGTCTATCTGGTAGCAGTAACGTTAACAACAAAAACGTTCTCAGAATGTACCCAAGAAGTTTATGCTTGTACATGAATTATTTACAAGTAAAGACTATTGAACGCGATACCCACTATTAACGCGCCTCAAAGCATATGTTAATGAGTAAACGTTTCAATCGGAAATAAACTCACTTTTATGATATAAGTCAATAAATTTTCGCAACACGTTGTGTTCGCTACACTTATTGTTCGTGTTACCGAAATTCGGAAAAATTTTATGAAATAAGTTACTTAACAGAGTGAAGAAAATTTTTAATGATTAAAATCACTAATTTCTCGAAATTTCGTTGCTAGTGTTTCTGATAAAAGCCAAACGCAGCAAACCCCCCTCCCCCTTTGCCCTTTCACCAAAGTAGTTACCTGTTTAAAGTCGTAAACGATATCGACTTCTCCCCCGTTACCAGAGTATTTCTTTGGAATGTGATAGGTTTCTGTTTGTTTCTCAGTGTCAATTTCAATGTCTTCTTCAATCACTTTATCTCCATCTTTTATTTTGAGCTTGTACTTGTACACGCTTTCCTGCAAAGTCAAAGGGACACCAGTCAACATCTACGGATACAAAGCCAGTGTTTATTGAGTTTTCATCATTTGACACTGGATATCAACTTTCGACTCCCTTAGAATAGAATAGAATAATTCTTTATTTAAACACGTTAAAATTAAACAGGAGTAGAAAAAATTAATAAACAAAACTACCCTAAACAATATGCAAAACTATCTACAACTAACATAACTAAGACCTGTTTTTCATGAATGCCGTGAGCACAGTATTTAAAAAAACAATCCGAAATTCAGATGAGCCAAGTGTTTAAATTGACGTAAAGATTTAGCCTCTCTCATATCACAGGGCAGGCTGTTCCAGAGAACTGCTCCGCTATAACTGAAGCTGTTCTTCATAAAGTTAGTTCGCGGGAACGGCACAACTAGTTTGTTAATAGAGTCCTTAGAGCTCCTTAGGGAGTAGTGCGTTTCATATCGTTTAACAACTTTTGAGAATAACTATCCTGGAACAAGATCTTTTAAAGACTTGTGAAGCATTGGGGCTCTCTGTATCTGAAACTGATTGCTCAAGCCTTGTTGTCTAAATAAGCGGTTGGCATCAGCATAATATCTAGAAAAGGTTAGAACACAAGCAGCACGGTTCTGAAGATTCTGTAGCCTGTCAAACAAAGTTTTCCCACAATTACCCCAGACAATATTACAATATCGAATTGAGATTGAATGAGAGTGTTGTATATACAATGGAGAGTAGGCGTTGAAACAAAAACTGTCATTCTTTTAATTGCTCCTATCCCGGAAGTGATCTTTTTAAATAATTTATCGATGTGCATTTGCTACCGTAGATTTTCATCAATAATTATTCCAAGCGATTTTACAGAGGTAACTTTTACTATCGGAACATTATCAATCGACAGCTCGGGTTGGCTCGACAAATTACTCAATTTTTGTCTTGATCCAGTTAGCATAAATTCAGTTTTAGAATTGTTCAAAGTAAGTTTGTTGGAAATAAGCCATTTGTTTAGATTACCTAAATCGTGATTCAAATTTAACTGTATTGAATTCACATCAACATGTGCATAAGTGACGTGTTTATTATCAGCATACGTCCTAGGCTGGCTGGCATGAAGTTAGGCAGTTTAGCAAATCGTTGATGTAAATAAGAAATAAAATAGGGACCAAGAATTGTTCCTTGAGGTACCCCGCATTCAAGTGAACAGATTCTTGAAAGGGAACCATTAACTAGACAACGTTGCGTACGATTTGTCAAATATTATAAAATGTCTGCGAAATTAGATAAGGGTTTCTGCAAAGGCCTTTTCTAATGCTCTNCTTTTTAAATAATTTATCGATGTGCATTTGCTACCGTAGATTTTCATCAATAATTATTCCAAGCGATTTTACAGAGGTAACTTTTACTATCGGAACATTATCAATCGAGAGCTCGGGTTGGCTCGACAAATTACTCAATTTTTGTCTTGATCCAGTTAGCATAAATTCAGTTTTAGAATTGTTCAAAGTAAGTTTGTTGGAAATAAGCCATTTGTTTAGATTACCTAAATCGTAATTCAAATTTAACTGTATTGAATTCACATCAACATGTGCATAAGTGACGTGTGTATTATCAGCATACGTCCTAGGCTGGCTGGCATGAAGTTAGGCAGTTTAGCAAATCGTTGATGTAAATAAGAAATAAAATAGGGACCAAGAATTGTTCCTTGAGGTACCCCGCATTCAAGTGAACAGATTCTTGAAAGGGAACCATTAACTAGACAACGTTGCGTACGATTTGTCAAATATTATAAAATGTCTGCGAAATTAGATAAGGGTTTCTGCAAAGGCCTTTTCTAATGCTCTTAATGCTCTACTTTTTGATATAACTGATGTCCTAAAAAGGTACTCCTTTTGGGTAAAGCCGCCGGCCCCGTATAGGCCATTATGGGAAGGCTCACCCTGGACGACAATAAAAACACAAAGAACAGTTGTAAAGCAGACTACCGAAACGGCATATGGAGTGTGTAGGCTGAGAGCGGTCTATAATGCGGTGCAGCAGTTAAATTAGATGGATCAAATGGCAAAAATAAACTGTAATTTTCACATTTACCAACCGAGGCTGCAGATGTAGCAACAATAAGGACGGCAAAACTCAGAAGGAACATCTTGAACTCCTGGTGATACACAAAAAAAAAAATTCGTTAGAGGTTCATATGTGTTGAAAAGGGAGTAAACTGCGCTTTCCTGGGTTCCTGGTGACAGTATTATTCAGAAGCAGGTGTTTCGTTGCGCTCATTGTACATTTTAAAAGCAAAACAAGATATTTAGATACTTTCAAATAAAACGTACCATTTTTCTTTTGTAACAGAAAAGCGGCGAGGTCGGTTCTTCGTTCTTCTCGTGGCAATGGACTTATAGCCTCCTCCACTAAGAGTGAATGAAAAGCCCTTGGTAGAACTAGCTTTTTATATCATCTGAATGCTGTTAAATGTTTCCTCATTGTTAACTTGATATCACAGTTGAGATGATATGTAACCCTCCACAGGATTTCCTGTAAAAAGGTGATGACAAAGTACGCGTGCGATGACACGGCACGCTAAGCGTTACATCTGGCACGCATAATTCTTGGTTTTCACTCACTTGAGAAGGCGGAAATAAAAATGGAAACCTTTTAATACAGAAAGTCTAAAATCTGGGAAATGAAAGAAGATAAATATACAAAAATCCTTGCTAAGAATCAGTTCTATGTAATTGTTCAGATGCGAGATATTCGGAAAACCGTTTTACCCAAATTTATAAAGCTTTGTATGGAGACGCCATGTTTGTGTCCCTTTCAGGGGCACAAATATGGCCGCCGGAAACCAACAGATGCATCTGTTTTTGAGTTTTCCTACTTATTGGTGAATTCTTCGCTTGAGGAACTCATAAAGATAAAAGTAATATTCATTCTAAGACAAGGAAGATAGCAAAATCTCCAAAATCCGTAATGTTTTTAATCAACATAAAAGCTTTCCCGCTAAATGCTGTGTCATGCAAAAGTCTGGAAATTCAAGCGCCCTGTATCGCAAAAAAAAGAACCCTTTTGAACTGAATTTTTTTTTGTATAAAGGTTTTACGGTGCTCTAGTATCACGTGAAAGTAGAAACTCAGAAGAAACGGTAGTTTCTTAGTTTTAGTTTTGATATAGCCTGCGAAAACATCCGTTTCTCCTCGCTCTTCGCCGCTGGGGACGTTTCCGCACGAAACGTCCCCAGCGGCGAAGAGCGAGGAGAAACGGATGTTTTCGCAGGCTAATTTTTGATGACGTCATGTGAAAACCAAGAATGAGGAAAGAGTGTCACGGTAGCTTTTATTTTGCACGCCTTAACACGCTAAATCTTTTATTTTCAGTAGAGTGTTAAATGACACGATTCAAAGCGTGTTTAAGTCGAGTGATATGGCACAATAACACGGAGAGAGTTATTAGACAACCGAAGAGTTAAGAATCTAATCTCTTATACAGCGTGTTTCAAAAGTTCGTTCCGATTTTTTTATTCGCTTAAATTTCACTAATTGTTAAAAAAAATACCTTTTGTAAAACTTAGTATGTTGTTCATTATTTATTTAACATTGAACAACTAAAATATTAGTAACCAGAATGTCTTCCTGTATGTTTTCTGACATTTTCTAAGCGGTGAGGTATAGAATGTACGAGCTCCCAAGGCGTGTCCAAAGTCACATTCTTCCAGGCGAAGCGTAGTCACTGTCTTAGCTCGTCCCAGTGTTTTGGGGGCTGATCTTTGTATTTTGGGCGCGATCCAATCAACCAAAATTTCCGGAAATCTCGGTCCAAAACTCAATGGATCGGCTCGGTCCAACCGGAAAAGTTTCGAAAAAAAGGGTCCACCTTTTGAGGTGGACCAATTGTTAGGTTTTTGTACATTATGCTAGCATTTTTTCGAGCAAAAGCATTGAGCATTATTCGCATTTTAGTGGCATTTTCCCCGCGGAAAATTAATTTTTCCGAGAAAATAAAATAGGAATTAACTTTTTTCAGGAGCCGATGCCCCATGAGCTCCTGCTTTTTTAAACAAAATGAAGACTAAAATTCAAAATTCACAAAAAACCTAATACAGCCAGTTTTTTTGGCTGTATTTATGAACTTGACACGTTGTCGTTGTTACTTGCAACACTTGCACGTTTTTGTAAGTGTAAACTTTGGAATTAATTTAAAAAAACCGTTTGTATAATGAGCATTATCCGAGCATTTTACTGACTTTTTTGGGGAGACCGAGCATTTTAGTGGGAAAATTGAAGCATTAAGGTGGAGCATGTTAGTAGGGAAGCAAAAGCATAATGTACAAAAGCCTACCAATTTTCCCGGTCTCGTCTACGATAATCCAGATGGTCTCTAGGGGGTACATATCACATGAGTTCGCCGGCTGGTCCTCCTTTGGTATTAAGTTGGCAAATCCTTTTGACACCACGCTTGCATGAAGTGTGCACCGCCTTTTCCTCTTCAAGGCTTTCCAACTTTTTTTGGTAACTTATTCCCGTACCGTTGTGCTCGAAACTTTGATCGATAATGTGAAGTTGAAAATTTTTTACCTTTCTGTTTTGTGGAATTATTAAGCATATACTTACAGCTTTTTCGATAATATTTCTCGCACAGTTTGTGAAAAACGGCCATGCACTCTTTGGTTTGTCTTCTAAGGTCTTTACTTTTGACCACTTGTTCGGTCATCGTTCAGACTTCTTCAACAATTTGACAATTTTATTTTGACTGAATGACCAGAAGACCATAAAAATAGATGCCTGAGCTCTAGCACAAACAGTGTAGGCCTTCATTTTCATGAAGGAGTAGAGAAAATGAAGAAAAAGAAAACGATAAAAATACTAAAATGGAAAACCTACAAAAGGGCAGGAAAAGTATGGCGGGAAAAACCTCGCGTACGTGTACAGTTGAAGCAAAAATTTTAAAAAAAATTATAATTCCTTCAAATTTTACTTTGAAATTGCTTTTAACGGTTATTTAGATAAATTTCTAACCTGAATCAGTTTACTTTTGCCTAAAGAAG